TAAAGATTTCCTCTGTGTGTCTGCGCAATATCTGTGCTTGGCCACCTGTGTTTTTGCTGAAACCTGTCAAGAATAGAGGAGTGCAGAGGGGAGAATAATTTTCCTGGAGAGTCCAGTCTCTGTGCTGCTCTAGTGAGGAAGAGAGCCGGCGGGGAACAGGGTGGTGGCTGTGCTATGAAAGCAGCCCTCACAAACTGTGCAGCCATGTTAGACAAATCTGTGTGAGCTTGAGCCCCCACTAATAACTGTGAACCCTACAAAACCAACAGAAAGTTTTCACATAGTAAAAGTAAGAAAAGTTGAACCCCCACCTTTTTTCTTTCATTGTCTCTGCTAGGCATGCAGTCCCCTCTTGCCCTCTTTAATTCTCAGCAGTTTATAAAGCAGAAAGCAAAGTAGTTCCTCAGTAACAGATACACTTTACACATCCCCTTCCTTCTTTTCTTAGAGCTCCTGTAGTGCAAGGCCGAGGGTAAAAAGTTAAAACCACGAGCTCTGCCTTTGTAGTTTTTAGAACCAGATCCAATAGAGGCAGGAAGTTGTTCTACAATGGCGTTACAGTAATCTGCCACAAATGGAAAAAGCCAAATGCTGATCACCGAGTAGAGAAGGTGGCAGAACAGAGACAGAAAGAGGGAGGGAGGGACAAAAGGGGGAGAAAGAGAGCTAGCGTGTGTGAGAGACACAGACGTTACAGCAAAGAATAATCAATACAATCTAAGATGGTGGAAACAGCCATGCTGTTTAGCTCTCCCCTTGGCTCTCTCTGGCTTCCTTGCTCATTGTGTATACCAGTGCATGGATTCAGTTACAAAAATGTTTTTAGATATTTTCTTTTTTATCCCTCCTCCATTTTAAACAGAACAAATCAGCATCTCTGGGGAGGTTTCTCAAAAATTTCTCAGAACTATTAAATGTGCTTTACTGGGCAGGAGGCAGCTGTTTTTCCATGAGGAGCGCAGCAAAGTCTCACCCAAAAATGCTTATCAGCCTTTTGACTTTGTGCCAGACTAGTTGCAAGGGTTCAGCTTCAGTTTTCAGCTCGCTTTGTGACGGAGCCAGAGCAAGGAGGAGGGTCCTAGCCATGCTTTCTCTACCACATTGTTGAAAGTTTACCTTTTTCCTGTGTGTATGTGTGTGCGAGCATCTGGTCTATCCTGTGCATTCATACTAGCCACTGTGGCAAGCTAAAGAGTTAATGCACTCTGAGAGTGTGTGCAGTTTTCACTGTGCTCCCAAAACTGTTGCAGCCCCTCTACACTAAGAGATAAGATTAATAATTCAACCAGCTCTCAGAAGTGTTGCGTAGTTCAGAGATCCTTCAGCAGGGCAGTTCATTCTGAAGGATTGTGTGTTCCCTCTTTTTCTTCGCTTTCCTTTTCACCAGTTTATTTAGAAGCTAAGGTTCTGTACAGAGTATCCCAGTATGGCGTGCGAGTGTGTACACTGCGTCTGCGCGCTGCTGGAGGAGTGGATTTCTGTGCCATTCTTCCTCCTTCACCCCTCCCACACTGCCTTCCACCCTCCCACTCTCCCTCTCTCTTTCCTTCTGTGTCTGCGTCTCCCACCCATCGTATGCTCCCTCCCTTCCTCCCTCCTTCTGCTCTGTCTCCAGTGCAAATACTGTTCCTTGCCGTGTTGGACATGTGAAGAAAAAGTGACTGATTTGCGCGCTCGGCTGCACCTCCTATTTCATCATCAGCGGGGCTTTCTCTCCTTTAGTGTGCACTCGCTCTCTCTCCTCTCTCTCTCTCTCTTCTTTTTCTCTCCCTGTTTCGGTTGCTCCCCTCTTTCTGATCCAGCCACATGCAAAGGGGAGACTTAGGCTCTGCGATGGGGGGGAAAAAGAAAAAGTCTGCTGCTATTTCTACAGTCAGGGCCTCCCCACAGCCCGCCCTTCTATAGACGGAGCTTTTTTTCACTCACTACTAGCTGGATTTTAACCCTCTGCCTCCAACTAGCTGCACAACGTCTCTGCAAAGCCTGAGAATAAGTTGCTTTTTAAGGGCTTTTTCACACTTTTGGCACATTGATTTTGCATCACTTTGGACTGTGGCGTGATTTCTTCAGTCCTTTTATATTTTATTTTTGAAAAATCTTCCGCGCCTTCCTACTTTTTTTCCTCATTAACGGGTTTCTAATAGTATTTATTTGGTTATTCTTTTTTCTTTGGGATGGAAATTTGCGAAGGTGATGTTTCACCATGTGATAAGCCTAGTTCCATCTGGAGTGCTAAGGTGCCAGTTCTGATCGGTAACCTGTTTGTGGTGGGCTCGTGGTCTGGTTGACCACTATGGATGACAAGTAGAAAATATGACCAGTACCTGAGCGTGGTACACATCAGCCGTTTAAAGAAATATCCTTTATCAGCACCAGGGAGCGGTGTGAAATACCTTCCTCTTTTATCTTGACTCTCTGGTTCTCCTTCTATTTCCTTCCCATGTCCTGTCTCGCTCACTCTTGCTCTCTCTCTTTCACACCGACTCGCTCCCCTATCAGTGGACTGAGTGGCATGCTGAGCCGGAGCTCTTTCTGGGACAGGTGCCAACTGCAAATAAAAGACATTCAAAGGCAATAAGAGGAAATGTAGTTTTTTGTGAAATGTTAAATTGTTGAGGGGAAATGTCAGAAGTAGTCCTGCATGTTGTTTTGCTAAATGGCCATTTTGTGCTGTTATTTCATGTATGTATGAAGTATTAAAACTGAATGTAGGACTAAGGCTGTTGTTCAAGCAGAGGTTTGAATACTTTGCCACAATTATTCTAGTGAAGGCATTTCATTCAGGAAGAGAGAGGGAGTAACAAGGGAGACCAGCATATAGACTGCTGAATTATTCATGTGCCCAGCCAGGGCTGTGACTGGACTGATTGAGAGCTATTTGCATGCATCAGCCATGCTGTTTGTCTGTTTGCTAACATCCCTCATTCAAAGACTTGTTAACTAGCAGACAGGCTTAGCTGAAGCCTTGCAGACAGTCTTATGGCCTCCTTTTGTTTCAGGCCTCACCAGGCCTCTACCTAGCCAGTGGCGGGCGAGACGTGCAGCCCTGAACCCACTCTCACACTGTGACTGGAAGAAGGAGTGAGCCTGGAGCTGAGATTGCGGCTGGAGCTCAGGCTGGAGCTGGGGATGAGGCATGACTGTGAAGCGGACAATACGAGGGATATCCCTGGGTCTTGCAAGAACAACCGAAGAGGAGCTTATCACTTTCTCCTCTTCTTGACAGAGATGTGAATCAAAGCGAGAAGAACTGCCGATGTTTACACCCCGACTGGACATTTACCATTTTTGCTCTGAAATACTGGTGAGTGATATGTTCTAGTACTATACACTTAGTTTCGATGGAAGTTTATCCATGTGTTTACATTTAGGTTTTCAGTGTTTAACAAGCATCCTGTACAAATAAACATTTGATGCACTTGAGGTTCTTACACGGTTTCTTTTTACCTGGATATACAAGTGATTAGCAAAACCTACATGCTCATGTAGTTTAGGAACATTCTCTATACATTACAGTAGCACAGGTAGCAGCAAAAGCTCTGCTCCTTTAACTCTGAAAAGGCACCTTTGAAAGTTTTCACTTCCATAAAACCTAGTCGTAATTTAGTAATGCATAAAGAAAAGTTGTTAATAGCACTTTGATTGATAATCCTCCCTACAGTTGTGGAGGTATTGTATATAAATGATGCACTCCGGGCTTAGTATTGTATGTACTGTATGAACAGAACTATGTGTTGCACTGATTTGTGTGATTGGTTTAATGTTTTACAAGGCTTGATTGTCAACACAATTTCAATGAAAATCCTCTGTGTGTATTTGAAATTGTGTAGCTGCACTTTCCAAGCTTGTATTTTTTTAGAAGACAGAATAGACAACAGATGTAAAACAATCCATCACTTTATTTGCAAGACATTTGCCAATATATGCTTTATTTTAATGCTGATCACATCATTTCCTGATTTGCGTGTGTGTGTGTGTGTGTGTGTGTGTGTGTTTGTGTGTGTGTGTGTGTGTGTGTGAGTGGTTATAAGTTACTTATTTGAAGATGGGATTTTGGATGACTTATGCTTTGCATAGTAACAATTTGTGGCAAATGTATAGAAAGACCCCAAATCTCAAAATGATTTTGTGAATTGATTCATTTTGAGACCATTCTCTTTTCATTTGAAGGACAGAACAAATGTGAAGGAGCATTAACCCTCTGTTAGCAGTCGTAAAGCAATGCCTCAAAAATGACTGGGAAATTATGAATTTGATTTCAGATAAGTAACTTTGGATAAATTGTGATTTTTCTTTGGCACATTCTGCTTTTATTCAGTTAATTATAGTTATGTTGATACCTAATAATGATGGTTTCACATATCTTTTTTTTTTTTAAACCTGACTTATTAGAAGTTGATTTATGGAAATCTTCCATCTTTAGCCAATTTTGTGGTTTGGTTCTCAGAGGGTTGCCCTGGCTGCTTATCAGTGTTTATATAATTGGGGACTTTTTGAAGGGTAATGCAATATTAGAAGGTTTCAGGTCATTCATGATTCAGGTGGAGCTTTTCTATACATAGGTGATTATGTTGATTTATATGAATATAAGCTTTGCTTAACTAGAGGTGGGCACATGGTTTTGGCTGGCAGAGTGTCACAATACTCCACCCCTAAGGCCTTTTTGGCAGTGGATGGCAGGAGTCCAGGGAAAGGTTGCATGTTGAGAGGCAGATGGCAGGGTGTTGAGGGTTTGCAGTATTTTATCTCTTTGTAAAACTATACATGATCTATCCAACAGCCTGGTACATCTCACAGTGAGGAATGTGGGCAGCTTTACTGCAGCAACACAGCAAATACACTGTCAAACATACATATTTGTACATTCAATGTAATGATGCCTAACAATATTGAACAGATTTTTTATTGTCTTGTCTGTTTTTTGCCCTGCCAATGTGTGTTCTTAGGCTCGGTGAAATGGTCTGTTCTCACAAACATGTATAACAGTCAAAAATGCTCGTCAGTTGACTTTCTCTTCATTTTTATACATGGGTACCAGTGTGTCATGAATATACTCTAAAAATAGAGCTAAAGGAAACGGCATGCTGCAGCTAAAACAACAGGTTCCAGACTTGAACTTGACTGTGACATTGAATTTGAATGAGAAGTTCCAGATGTTTTAATGAGATTGTATTCTCATTACAGTGTATTGGTTAAGCACTGTATGTTTTTGTATGATAAAAAAATCCAACTGACGACACCTCAAAACAAAAAAAGGGGAAATAAATGATACTTTATGTAGAATTATTATTCTACAGTGTACACTATAATTTTAAGCAATTATTATATGGACAGGATTTAAAAAATATTTGAATAATTTTTCACTCACTGGTTACCTTTATTGTGCTGTGTTTAATTTGTTTGAGAAGTATTTCAGTTCCACAATACTATGCATAGTATACAGAGAGAAAGCAAAAAAAAAAATGTTTGCTAAATAATATGATCCCTTTTTTCTGTACAGAATTATTTAAAAATTGTATAAGTTCCTTATGAAGTTTCAAAGAGGGAACACTTGGAGAAAGAAATGCTTTTTGTCTAAAAGCATAGAGGAAAACATGGCAGACAGCCTTAAATAAAATATCAGCCATATATGTTTTACAGCATTGCTCTGGTGTAGAGAATACATAATGGTTGACAAATACACAGCATCAGTATATTTAACTCTGTGTGTGTGTGTGTGTGTGTGTGTGTGTGTGTGTGTGTGTGTGTGTGTGGTAAGATATTATATGCATGCATGTCTGCTTCACTTGGTGGATCGTAGCTTTGGTTTTTGTAAATCCTTCAGGGTTTTTTTTTATGTTTTTAAGTTAATTACACCATTTTTCTGCTTTTTTAATCTTGCATATCAAACCTGTGAGTATGTCAAGTGTCCCATTTTGAAGGGTCGCAACCATTTTTATGCATGAATTAATTTATTTATTTCAATCTAAAATTCAGTTTTTCCTGACATTTATCTAGTTATGCCTTTAGACCAATGTAGAAGTATAGTTCTATCCTTACGTCAATTATTTAAATTTTGTATGATCCCAGCTGTTCCAGCATTTCATTATTTGTTGTTTTGAACAATATTGTAAGCATAAAACTTTGATCAGTTTCATTAAGAAAATCTTGTCTGTCATGTATGTTTCTAATACTGTTCCTGCTCAGCACTAAGTGTTGAGTATGTTGTTCAAGTCATGTACCAGTGCTCAGTGTATTCTTTCTATTGCAACACACACTGCAAATGACTCATTCACCAGTACAACACAGCAATAAGCTGCCAATACACTGTTTCATTTGTTTAAGTGCATAAATTGGTATTTATGATTATATGATTTTGCTTCATTTATGAGCTTGCTGTGAATTACATCCATTTTCCTCCTGGCTAATATGGAATACAGATTGGAGTGGTGAATAGGGGCCAAGTGAGCACTCAGTGTAGATGTATTTTTCTGCCATAATAATGAAGCCTCTTTTATTTCTCTTGCTCATGTGGGTTCAGTGTGCTGTTTTAAGTACAATAAACCCCACATAATGAAAGTTATATTGTATGTTGAAGCTCTTTGGACGACTGTCAGCATTAGGGATTTGACTGACATTTATTACTGTCTGGGCTGCCAGGACTAACGATGCATTTAATTTTATTTCCTATATATTTAATCGTTGGACAGTGAGATAATATGTATTTATTGTTAACAGAACCATATGGTGTTATGATATTAGATTTTTAGAAATGTATTAATTTTTTGTAGAATTTTTAAGCTACACAAAAAAGGGACGGGTCTTTTAAAATCACAAAAACATCATTGCTAAATAAACCACAAGGCTCATTCTCGCTATAGCATAAGCAGGCACGTTTTCCTTTTTTTTTTTTAATTTTTAAGCTCATTTAAGTAGCTGCTCAATGCTTTACTTGTAAAATGAAGGCTATGGAAAATAAAATCTGGCATAGCATTATATTTATTTAAGGTATCAATACGACAGCTTGGCAGTTCCACCTTGGGTCCAGTATTCTTACTGAGAGACTATGCAATGTAATTACCACTCTGCAGCTGCAGTTTAGCACAAGCAGGTCACTGCTTGTGGAAATGAAGCTGGATTTAAATTTTCCACTTTGGCAGCCTATCATGTTTCAAGGTCACAGTGCAACCTGCAAAAACCTCTGAGACAATTGCTTACATTTTACACTATGTCAATCATAATAACATCTGCTTCAGGCTTTTATTTAACTGCTGTCAGTCGGTAGAAAGGTCTGTTCAGATCTCCTCGAGGTAAACGGCAGTCTAGTCTGATCAGGTCTATAGTAGAAGCTGGCCAGGCGCCCTGTTGCCCTCATGTACTGTGAACGTGGGAGAGCAGATGAGTGGATGTACAGTGGCCACTACAGGCTGTACTGCACTCATACAGTATCAGTAGTACAGTATACAGTAGGAAGTGGGCCAGGCCTGTATTTGTAACCAGAGAGGCTGGTTACGTACATGACCATTTTTAGCTTGGTGGCATTGCACAAAAACAGAAATTTCAAGGCTCCATAAACAAGATAATTACAGTTGCATCTGCTGATTACACACATACAATATGTACATATACACCAAAGTCTCCAAACCTGCTTTTTCTCACTTCTCTCTCACCATACATGGAAGCCATTAGTCCATTACCCCTTTTACTAGGATTGGGGGCCATTTTATTCTCCCTGTGTTAATCAGGATGTCAGCTGGGAGTGTCACATGTAATTTATCCACAAAACCACAGCAACTCCGCAGAGACAGTGAGCACAGTCATAATGACATAATATTGGACTGGGGGAGAGTTTCGGGGGTGACAGATGATGTAGATTTTCCTCCTCTGCACCTCCCCTCTTGCCCTCTAGACATTCTCAAACAAGACCTGTGTATTTTTCACATGCTTGCTTTACATTATGGGCCCGTTAGCTGTGGTCAGGGTTTTTTTTTTTATACTGGAGTATATTTACCCAAGGGTGATTTTCTTACACACATGCTGTTCAACCAGAGTCTAAGTGTTAAAAACCGAACTTTTAAACAACTCTTTCAAGAGAATTTAGTTTGACAGGCAGGTTTCTTTCACCAAATCAGATTAAAATAAAACAAAACTACATTTTTTTTTCCTTTGCCTCTGACCACTCAGTATATTCAGCATGTGTTTTAGAGACCCCTTAGTCTGAGGTCTGCAGCATCACGCGAGTGTCTCTGAGCACACACTGTAAGGATAGATACTTGTTTTATGTAAATGCCAGGCAAAGCGATATTCCAGATAAAATCGAGCTGCACCCACTCAACTTTTCAGTACTCGTATATTTCTTCAGCTTTGGCCTCTGCTGTCGCCAAGGCAATTTAGTGAGTGAAAAACTGCAGAGTCAGCAAAATTGTTCCACTTGGAGGTAAAGTTGGAAGTGTTGAGAGGCCTTGCCTGCAACTCTCAGGCTATCAAAATACTGCAAATCCCTTCCCTCACCTCATTGCCACTTCAATTTCTTACTGTTCATCAGTACTGAGCTGAGTTACTTTTAGAGATAAACACAAATGCACTGGCTTGAGCTGCTTTATGTCAGTACAGAAAAATTAATATTCTATAGACTATGTTCATTTTCTGTTATTGATTTGACTGTAATTTACTATTTACTTTTGTAATCATTTCTACCTTGTATTTGTTATTTCTGAATTTTGAGCCAAACATTACACCCTACCTAACTGGACCTCTTCAGCTTTAAATGTCAATACAAAAGGTTTTGTAATCAAGGTCAGTTTAAAAATGAATATATTTATTGTGTTTTCTTACAGTACAGCTGTCTATGTGGTATAGGCTTCGTGAGTCATCAGCATGCATGCACACAAACAACAGAGTGCAGTGAGTGCACAGATCGGACATGAATCTCTCTCCATGGGCTGGAGGGGTTGAGTTACTCATGAGCCCAGAAACATGTGCTGGCTGCAGTCCAAGGCACTGCACTATAATTATAAACGTTAGAAACAATATATAAAAGATCCTTCACCAGCAAGGCCATGTTCCGCACTGCAATTAGCATCCATGTACAGAATTAGCACCCTTCAGCAGCTGCCGTGCTGAATGGAGAATTGACAGTGACCTCCTCGGTCTGATAGAGGACAACCCTCACATCTTTCTTTATCCCTGTCACCCTCTTTATTTTTCTGCAATCTCAGATTTGGCTAATGATGACTAACTACGCCTGTGGTCCTGGCATCATACACCTGTGTACAGTATGCAAACAGGCACATTTCAAAAGCTGCCTGAAACATTAATGCTGTATAGTTTATACATGTCCTGATGTGTGAACATAAACATACTGTGCCGCATGTGCAGAAAATCACTGGTGCCATCTCACCCACACACATGATACTGTAGTAGGCCTTCAGTAATACATCATGCCAAAGTGTGTGCACGTATGCAGCGAGTGGGTGCTACTAGGCAAGGCCAAGGCCACGATGGTTGGGTGGGCATGCAGCAGTCAGAGTTGGCTGGGTACAGGCCAACAGAGAAGGTGCAGTGTGTTACATGTTCCACTAATGAGTTTCCTTGGCCAAGCAAGACCGTGGGGCGAGCTTATTAGTAAACCGGCTACGGCTGCTGCTCTCCAACTGATGGCTCTCTCTGTTTCTGCTTCTCTGTTTCCCTTTCTTCTCTTCCTTCGCCTCTACAATCTCTTTTCACCTCTCTCTTTGTCTGTCCTCCTTGCAGGCAGTAAGATGGGTTTTACCTTCAGCCAGAGGCGCGACCAGTTCGGCCAAAAAGTGAAATCGTGGACAGACAGAATGGCGATCGCAGTAGTAAGTACTTTAATGTATTGTAAATGTATTATGGTTTTATTTAATGATGCATTGTAAAGTCATTGTTTTGTCTTGAATTTCATTTAATGAGATGAAGTGTGTAATTAGATGCTGCGTAAGTTTCATTTATTATATGCGTGGCATGAAACTGCTCCATTTACATTTATTTTCAGTCTCCTTCTGAGAGAATGCAAGCCTGCACTAGATTAAATCATAATTGCTGGATATTGTGCTTTTATTCAATTCGAGAAGCCAAGTGGTCCCAGCGGTTTGTTAGTGCAGAAGATTAAAAAAAAGAAAAAACAATGTTTAGTGTACATGCACAGAAAACACTCAGGGTATAATTTTAATTGTCCATGAGGCATAGTAAGTCTTGACTCTCTCTGTGCTGAGGCCAGGATCTGTTAGAAAATGGCTTCCACTCTCTGCCTTCCAGCTCTCAGCTCCGTGCCGCCATTTTGTGCAGCGCTGCCAAAGTAGTCAGGTAGCAGGATGAGAGGGACGGAGTGAAATGGGGGGAAATAGTGGGCGCAACTGGATGCTGAATTAACTATCAAATTAAAATAAATGGGAGAAACGAAGGGCTCCTCTGGACAATGACTGAGTACATAATATTGCTTTTCTTATGGAGAGAGGTTTTTAATTGTTGCAGGCTGACTGCATTCAGACAAGCAGCATCCCCCTCTGGACCCTTCCAAGCTCCTCTTCTCAAAGTGCTGACCCTGGGTGGATGCCATAAATGGTGCTTTTCCACTGGGGCAAATGTGCTGGCAGGGCCCACAGCTATATGACCCCCTCTCACCCTCCACCCTCTATCAGTCCTCCCTCTCTCCTTCACAGGCTTCAGAGTCCCCAGTAGCCTGGCCCCCATTGAAACACAACCTGTCTGTTTAAAGTACTCTAGAGCTAGAGTTTGCATGGAAACAGTTTTAACTTCTGCATATGTACCTGTCTCCACCCTAACCAAAGCAGACTGTTGACTGTAGCTTCAAATCCTTCTGTGCTTGTATCATATGCACTCGATAACCCCAGGCCACACCCTACAGCCTCCAGCAGCACTAGCTAGCTGCCCACGATTCTGGATTTCTGTATGCGCCAGGCATTTGATTACATGTGCAGATGTTAATAAAATCCTCCTCTCATCTGACCCGAAGTCCATGGACATTATATTAAGCTTTCAGTAGGTGTTCACTGCTGCTTCTCTCTTGATCCACCAATTGCTAAATTTACCTGACAAAATCACAGAAAACCCATCTTTTTACCATTATGTTAAAAGAAAGTGGAACAAAGAATAATGCTTCAGGAATTGTTGTGCCATTTTTCCTACAGTTTCATAAAAATGAAATGATTTATTTAATATAAAACAGTTTCAGTTTAAGAGCACAATAGTCATGTGATTTTCTTCTATTAAATAGCACATTCATAGTTTATGAAATTAGCCTCTAAATGTTAAATGCTGTTTATTAGCTTTTATCAAGCACTGAAATTTTTCTACTTTTGAAGTAATTTTACTTGCTTGTTATTGCTCAGGTAATGTTAAATCACGGTAGTGACAAAATCATCAACCTTACGGGGACACTTAAGATTTGGATGTTGCATTTTCCAACTTAGCAGGTAAATTGATCAGTGTGCCAGCATCATAAAGCATTAGGTCCTTTGTTTTTAAGAATTGTGAAAGACATCAATATGTATACAAGGTGCCAAGACCATCACAAACATAAATAAAAACTACAATTAATGCTACGTAGTTGTGTGCCTCCACCAATCAGTCAAAATCACGGAAATGGAACAGACGAGGTCACTGACCTTGACATTTGACCACCAAAATTTAAAGAGTTCACCCTTGAACCCAAATCTGAAGAAATTCCCTCAAGGAATTCCTGAGATATGTTCACAAGAATGGGATGAACATGAGGTCACAGTGACCTTGACCAATGACCTTTGACCACCAAATTCTAATCAGTTCATCTTTGAATTCAAGTGGACATTTGTGCCAAATTTGAAGAGATTCCCTCAAGGTGTTCCTGACATATCGAATTCACAAGAATGAAGCGTATGGACGTACAGCCTGAAAACATTTTGCCTTCAGCCGTGGCTATCAGCAGTGCGAAGGCATAAAAATGTTCTTGTTGTCAGGTTACACTAGAAAACAGCACCAGTTTACTCTATATCTAGATACTATGTCTGTGTACATCCTGCAGTGCTGTTGTAAAAACTCCCTTACGTATCAGTGTGCGCCTTTGCTGGCATGTACTGTAATTTAGACTAGGTGCAAAATATAGCAGGGCCCCCTGCAGCACCTGGCCTGTCACAAACAACTCTTATTCAGAAAGGCAGTGGCTTTTTAACAGTCCACAGTGCACTCTGTCCCCTTTGGCTCCTGACTCTTTAACCTGGTTGTGTGTTTGTGTATGGGAGAGTGTGGCCTCCATATTGTGTTTGTGGAATGAATTATGAATGCTATTACATAACCATGGCCTGTTTCTAGGGAATATCTCTATAGTGTCTACTCAGAGACCAAAGAATGAATACATTTACCCTGCCTAGACCTCTTGGAAATGATACTGTGAAGCTGGCCTGCCTGCGTTTGTTTATGGTTATATAGAGCAGATGGCCATGCAACATGGTCACATATCACACACCAGCTGCCTTGCTGGCACTGCCACACATGCAAATGCTTATAGGCAGAAATGTATGAATATTTGAAGGAGATTCAAATATACAGAAATTCATTTTTTAACTCACAGAGGGAAAAGTCTTGCATCTCTTTATCAGTGTTCATTACTGTATATAAGACTTCACTTTGGCAGCAGGTCTATCTAGAACAATGGCACGCATAACTGATGCCCAAGCTTTTCAGTGTTGACTGTGGTGTATTTTACCGGCCTAGCTTTCAGCTTTAACTGCTAACCACTGTAGTGAGTTTGACTACAGCCAGCTGTAGCCTGGGGGCAACAAGCTCTTCAAGGTTACAAACTATACAGCTCCCTGTCTGCCCGCTCTGGCCCTCTGTCTGTCAGCTGTAGTTCATGTCCAGGGAGTTAGGTATTTGTCCCACCCTCTAAATATAGCTGGCGACAGATGCAGCTCAATGGGGCACTGCCAAAGATGAAAGGGGCCCTGCAGGCAGGCTAGTGCAGAGTTGGGTATGCAGATGTGTCAGGTCTATAGACTTTGTCTAATAGACAGGGGTCCTACAAGTCACTGGCAGCCACATGACAGTTTCTTCAGCTTTCATTAGCTTGGCAGCACCAAAGCTAAAGCTGTGAATGAGAGTATATATCTCTGAATCTAATTTCTATGGATTAACACATCATCTTCTAATGGACTTCATGGCCACTATTAAATTTGTACTCCCAGTTAAAATTAAAATGTGTTGCAGACCATGATTAAGATCTACATGTTAGTACTTGTATGTCCTGGAATTACAACCATATACAAGGCTATTAATCTGGTAACCCTAAAGTAGGTGTGACAACCGTGGATTGTATGCCTGTTCCACTTCATAAATTTGATCACATCACCTCTTTTTTTTTTTTTTTTTTGCATGCAGTTACGGCATGGAAAGAAGTTATTTCAGCATGTGCAAATATCTCCTGATAGAACGTACAATTTTCCCAAAAGACAAAACTATAAGCTTTATATTTTTAAACCTCTTATGAATATTGTGTTAAGTGTCCATCAGTTTAAATATTTAGCTATTAATTTAAAATTAAGCATCATTACTTTTGTCTTTTCAGCCTGTAGGCTTGTGTATCGTGAGCACTAATGAGCATAATGACTGAAACTGTTAAAAGGCATCATATTTTAGGTGTTCTGATATGTAATAGCCACATGCCCACCTTCCAGAAACACATAGCTTCTGGGTAGACCTTTCTATAGGCCTGTGCCTGCTGTGCATCCTGTTGCTTTACCGTGCCTGTGTGCACACATGTCCATATGAGTGTCTGTATGTTTCTCCATGTACGTGTGACTGTATATTGTGTGTGAGAGAGATAAGAAGCAGCTGGTTGGGCTGAGTGGTCTGAGCAACCCCTGCTGCGTGCCCTGTCATTACAATGATTGGGGTCATTTTTTACTTCTAATATACAGGGCCAGGGATGGGGTGTGTGGGGTGGGGGGTGCTGGGATCAGCTAACTCTGCCTAATCCCGTTCTCTTCACCTGGCATGTTTATGGCTCTGTTGGGGGATGGAGGGGTGGAGGCAAGTAAGTCACTGGGGTCGGTTCATCTTACAGCCTGACAGGCAGACACACATGTTATGCACATACTGTAGATGTGAGTACATGCACACTTTATCACACATATACTGTATACACATGTTGATCTGCACACACACATACCACACAGACACAAGTGCATACATTACACATGCATTAATGCATACATGTAGCTCTTCACACAGACACATACAGTATATCACTAATTCCATATGAACATATGAAGATACACATATGCATTTCCTCTTATTTCACTCTCCTAACACACATGCACATACTGTTTGCAAGTTCAATATCTGCCTCATGCAGAGGTGATGAGGAGGTCAGTCTGTCTGACTTTGAGCAGAATCCCCCTGTGGCTTGCCCCAACCATCCTCCTGGCATGTGTAACAGGACCTGCCCATGCAGCCTCTCCTCTTCTTCCCTCTCCTCCCACCGCCTCCCTCCTGGCCCTGTTATATATAGATGGGTCATGCCTGCTGAGCTATCCTGAGGGGATAGTGGGGGGGCATAGAAGCTATACTTCCCTTTATAAATGTTCCATCATGTCTGTCTGGATTCCCGTCTGTGCCCAGACACCACTTCACTTGTAGCTGGGTGCCTACTGTATGTACTGTAGATGTACACAGAAAAAGAAGAAATACGTACAAATGTGCACATACGGTACCCAGGCATGGGAATTCCCTGTATTTTGCCGGAAATCTGGACTTTTTGGGGTAATTTCTGAGATCAGTGTAAATCCACAGAGAAAATCTGGGGGGCATCACTGTATTTGCACAATTCTATGTATGTGAGGACAGCAGACCAAAAGGCACTGTGTATACCAGACTATTTTCCTTTAATAAAACTGTGTACATTTGGTGAAATTAAGATCTGAGGACTACATATAGAATATGTAAACAGGACTATGAATCTATGTAGGCATTTCATGCCAATTACATCTGTCCTATGCCAAGTCTCTGTCTACATAAAAGACATTAAAGTTTGATACAAAGCCTTGTGTATGGGTCTTAGAAGGTTAATGGATGTAACTTGTGACTTTCTGAACTGTAAAATGTGTAGCCATTTTGGACAGGACTCTCCGGTAAAAGAGAGATCCTGATCTGTTGAGGTAAATTAAGAAAATTTTAAATGTGCACAACTTTAAAATCTAAAACTTGGCAATTTTAGAGCTTGTGAGTAATAAACACATTATTTACCTGAAATGTTATGAATAAGCAAAAATATACACAAAATAATAAAGATGCATATTGTGTAAAAGTCCGGTTTCTTTTCTGAATTATCCACCACATACCACCCGAACCTCAAAGATCAGGTTACAAGGTTACAGCACTCCACTCTATCACACTATCACTGCAGTGAAACTAAGCTTCAGTATTGATTGATAGGTACGATAACACTTAGACTGAAGTGTGATTGAATTGAAATGGCTTTTAAATCAGTGGGTACCTTTGCTGTGAACACGGTGAGAAAATGTGATGAGGTAAATAAATATCATGTTTGAACTTTTTCAATTTAAAGGGTATTTTTCCACATTTGTTCGTCTCTGCACATGTGCATGCATTTAAAACTGTGTCCTTGTGTGGATATTTTTGTTTATGCATTTGCATCTGCATGCCCCACAGTGTGAGCGCTGTATATGATGGTGTGAGATTATGAGACGATGAGGTGTAGAAAGCAGGACGTTGCTCCCTGGTCTTCCCATACAGCTAGTGAAGGTGAAGGTACAAGGCTAAAGCAGTGGGTTAGTTACAGTGTGAAGAAGTGCTTGCTGAGTTTGCAGACTTTTAAGAAGACTGAATTTTCAGGGGGACCATTGCTTGGTCAAAAAAAAATGGTGTTTTTAGACTGTATTGCATAACAGTTTTAAGAGCCCTAAACAAGTGTGCACATGAGTACATGCCTGTGTGTGTGCGTCTGTATGTGTTCTTGCACTGCATATTGGTCCTGTGCAGTGCGTGTGTGTGGGTGCGAGTGTGAATATTTCCCTGTCACTAGATGGTATCTGCT